ATATATGTATATATATGAATGCCATGCGAGCGCGGCAATCTCGCATTCAGCGCGCGCGAGGGTGCGCGATTTCATAGACATGTGCTTGATAGCTCCTTGCTTGTCCACAGCTCGAGTTGAGTTGAGACAAACACCCACGCAAGCAAGTACACGAGATAAGCTGAACATCTGTTTCAGAAAACAGGTAAATCTTAAGAGCATATCGTCGTGTAGTTGTTTGCACGGCACACATAGTTTGTCGGTTGCCGCTCTTGTAGCCAAGCCGATATCAGACGTTTCGATACTGCAGATTCGCGCGCGTGATCATTTCAATTCGAACAGCCTGCTTCCCAGCTCCGTAGCTTGCCTACACCTCGAATTAAGTAGAGAAAACTAACACCACCTATCTAACATTTGAAGAGCGCAATTGTTTTAGTCGCAGCTCTTGTAGCAGACCGATCTCAGCCGTCTAAATGCTTTAGACGAGCGTGTCTCAGCATTTCCTGTCGATTGGTGAATAGCTGAGCTCCGTATCTAGCCTACAGCTCGGATTGAATACAGGAAACAACATCATCTCTCACAACAAATGCAGAGTGCGGGCAGTTTTGCAGTTGTAGTCCTGCTAGCAAACCAATCTCATACGCCTCGGTACTGTACGCGACTGTGTCTGAGGATTTCTTATTGGACGGCGTGTTTTCCAGTCCCCTAGCTAGCCTACGACTCGGATTAAGTAGAGAAAGCCAACACCGTCTATCAAGCAACTGAAAGGGTGCAAACAATTATAAGGTCGCAGCTCTGGTAGCAGACCGATCCCAAGCGTCTAAATAATTTAGACAGGGGCTCCTCTGCATTCACTGTCGATCGATATGCATCTCAGCTCCATAGCTGGTCTGCGGATCGATTTGAATTGAGGGCACACGCACATCATCTCTCGAAACGTATACAGTTCTTCAGTCGCAGCTCTGGTTACAAGCCGATTTCAGACGTCCCGATACATTAAGCGAATGAAGCTGCTGATTTCTTGTTTGAAGGTGTGCTTCTTAGCTCCGCAGCCAGCCTACAGCTCGAATGAAACAGAGAAAACGAATAGCATATCTTAAAAGGATTAGCAGAGCACGAATAGCTGCTTGGTCCCAGGCCTGGTAGCAAACCGACCTCAGGCATCTAGATACGTTAGACTAGCGTTCCTGATGTTTTCTGTTCGGTTGCTGTGCTAAACAGCTCTGTAGCCCATCTGCAGCTCGAGTTAAATTACATAAGAAAGCCGACAGCGTCTGTCAAGATGACACTCAACAACCGATCCCGCCCATGGGCTTTTTGATAATAGTATCCGCCCGATCGGCCTACGATCAAGATGGCGAGCGGGCATGATATCGAACATGGGGGGACAACATATTAGAACTCTAACGAATTGTTGAATCTCGAGAAACTGATGTTTAACCGACCGAAAGTATGCAAACCTTCCGTCGAGTTTTTTCGAGCCAACTAGCCCGCCAGCGCGCCCGAATTACTCTTAAGCTCCGCCGCTTCGCTCTTAGGGAAGCTCTACGAGTCAATTGTCCAACATGGTCTCGGATACGCTACCCAGATGGCCACCACGGATCCAAGGTGACCCGCTCCCCCAAGACGATACATTATTTCCTCTTGGGGGTCTCGTGGGCCATCTTGGCGGCCCTCAGGTTGGAGAAAAGACGCCAACGTCAATCAAAGGCTTGGCAATCGATCTGGCGTATTAGATTGATGCTCTGAATCTCGCAGCTTTGCCCTGAACAACGCCCAAGACCAACCCAAGAGGCCCGCAAGCAGAGGCAATCCATAGGCCAAGCTCTTCCGAACTGGGAAGACCAAGTTTCAGGCCAAGCCCCAGCTGCCAATGCCCAGCAGAGCGAGTTTGGCATAAGCAACAGCGCAAAGGACGAGTGGACACTCGAAATGACGATGGCTCCTATCACTCTCTCTCTCTCTCTTGTTATTATGTTTTCTTGTTTTGTTTTCTCTCTCTCTCTCTATCTCTCTCTCTCTCTCTCTCTCTCTCTCCCTCTCTAGATGATCCCCGCGCCGCATGGCACCAGCCTCAATGATCTCTGACAACACAAACGCTTCAAGCGAACAACGTACATCGAGGTACAAACATGTAAGCCGCCTTTGTTCTTGAGGTAGTAGGCTACCTGGCATCGCCGTGATGATGATGTGGCGGGCAGGATGTGGAGACAACGATTGTCGGCAGGAAACGGTGACAGACAGAAACACAAGTATATATATATGGAACAAAAGCAATGCACCCACATTGCGCTGTCAACGGGCTCGAACTTGACTCGACGAAGCGGCGAGCGAGCGCAAGTGTGAGAAAAAACCTTAGTCTCAACAGACACAGCGAGCTCTCCTTACAGCCAAGGTTGATACTGCAGTGGCTGATACGGCATGATCAACCCGTATCGTCTGGTGCATGCTTGCCCAACTCGCTGAAAGACTCCTAGTGCCCACTGCGTCCTCGGATCATGTACGTCGAAGTGCCACGCTGGAACACGTGTGCGGGCATTCCACCAACATGAGCAACACACGGTCATCGCAGCAAAAAGGTTTCAGTGGCTGAGGGACCTCGCCATTTCACATGCAGGACCCTGGCTTTCTAGGGGTACCCGTCTCTAATGGCAGGCAGAGGCTGGAAGAGCAATGCAAACTTCTGAAATTTGACACGCGCCTCCTCGCGCTCCTCATGCTCCTAGACTTTCTGCTCTCCTTTTCCGTCTCGTTCTAGACCGTGCGCTGCTTCTTCTGCCTCTCATCATCCGCCTCCTCCTCCTCGCACGTGCTATCCCCTTCAGCCTTCAGCCTTCTCCTCGTGTCTTTCGGCTGCTGCTCCTCCTCCTTATTCCTCCTCCTCCCTCTTCATCCTCCTCCGAAGCGCCGGCTCTGCAGGGCTGGGCCAACACACTCCCCCTACCGTCTCTGATTTAGCCCTTACTGCGCTTCCTCTTCGGCGCTCGTTCGGTCGAGGCAGCGTGTCCTCCGTGGCCCCATCAGTCGGATGTGCAGAGGGCCCACGGTGACAATTGCAGTCTCGGCAATCCGTATCATGACTGCGGCGCTGGGGGAGAGCAGGCACACACAAAGCATCCTGTAATTCAATCATTTGTATGCCAGCACTTCTGACCGTTTGCAGGACATCTGGTACTGGAGTTCAGAGATACGGGCCAGCAGGGATTGCAACATGGCGCAAGGCAGGAACTCGATGGTGCCTCGGAGCTGGATGGTCCTGTTCTCTCCACAAAGCAACAAACCATGTGGCTGCGTCATCATTCTAGGCCAGACTATCAAGAGAAACTCCGTTGTGCAGACCTGGGTCTCACCAGCTGCAGGACGAAGGTTTCCTCTTGGAGCGCGCAGCAATCACTACGACTTCGCGGTGGTCTCAGTGTACTTCCCTCTCGTTCTTTCGAAGGCCAGCCAGTTAGAAACAGAGTGTCAGACTTGTGATTATATCATCAAGTGGCTCTGCTCGCCACCTTTTTGGGGGGTACACAAATGTGTTCTGATGGTTCGTACCGACCTCAACTCAGGGTTCGGACTCACGAAGCTGGAGGGCACGGAGTTTGGGAGACCTACTGACAGAAGACAGATCGGGCCTCATCACAACACAGCACGACAGAGATACTTGGGGGAGGTTATTCTCCCCCTCTTGGGCATGCTTGGCATGACAGTTCTCAACACACATCAATAATGTGGACCAGCATTGTCCAATACCACAAAGCAGGACAGCCAGCTCGACTACATCATCATATCCAGGTCCGCCTTACCCGCGGTACGAACAGCAGGACCTCTGAGGAGGATGGGGCGAGCTCCTCAGGCGATCGCGTCGCGCGCATCCAGAGATCATGCTCCCGTTCATGGTCGACTGGCTTCCTATTTCCCAACCATCATGTGGTGTTGGGCCCTCGTTTTAAAGAGACAGTGCCCCTCGTTCCTCTCCTTCCTTCCTTCCTCCTCCCCTTCCTCCTCCCTCCTCCCATCATGATCATCATCGTCATCAGCATCAGCATCAGCACCGCCATCATCATCATCATCATCATCATCATCATCATCATCATCATCATCATCATCATCATCATCATCATCATCATCATCATCATCATCATCATTAATATTATTATGATTATTATTATTATAATAATAATTATTATTATAATTATTATCATCATCACCATCAGCATCATCATTATCATCAGCATCAGCATCATCATCACCATCATCATCATCATCGTCATCAGTATCAGCATCATCATCATCCTCGTAATAATAATCATCATCATCGTCATAATTTTCATCATCGTGATCATCAGCGCCATCACCATCATCATCGTTATCAACATCACGGCCGCCATCATCACCATCATCATCATCATCATCGCTTTCATCATCCCCATCACCGCTCACACGTCTCGTGGCCCCAGGGGGTGCTCCACCGAATGCCCCAGTGCCACCGCCCGCATGCGCCCCCCCCCACACCGATTTCGACACACCCCTCATACGATTCGTGACCCCATAGTGTGCGCCATCGAAGGCTCGAGTGGCTGCGTTCGCATGCGCTCACCGCACCCATGTCGGCACACCCCTTACACGTTTCGTGGCCCCATGGAAAGCTCCACCCAAGGCTTGAATGGCTGCGTTCGCATGCGCCCACCGCACCCATGCCGGCACACCGCTCACACGTCTCGTGGCCCCAGGGGGTACTCCACCGAATGCCCCAGTGCCACCGCCCGCATGCGCCCCCCCCCCCACACCGATTTCGACACACCCCTCACACGATTCGTGACCCCATAGTGTGCGCCATCGAAGGCTCGAGTGGCTGCGTTCGCATGCGCTCACCGCACCCATGTCGGCACACCCCTTACAAGTTTCGTGGCCCCATGGAGAGCTCCACCCAAGGCATGAATGGCTGCGTTCGCATGCGCCCACCGCACCCATGCTGGCATACCCCCTACACGCTTCGTGGCCCCATAGGCAACCCCTCCGAAGGCTCAAGTCGCTGCGTTCGCATGCGCCCACCGCACCAATTTCGGCACCTCCCTCACACGCCCCGTGGCCCCACAGTGTGCGCCACCGAAAGCTCGAGTGGCTGCGTTCGCATGCGCACACCGCACCCATGTCGGCACACCCCTTACACGTTTCGTGACCCCATAGGCAGCTCCACCAAAGGCCCGAATGGCTGCATCTGCAGGCGCCCACCGCATGCATTCCGGCACACCCCTTACACGTTTCGTGGCCCCACAGGCAGCTCCACCGAAGGCCCGAGCAGCTGCGTTCGCAGGCGCCCACCGCACCCGTTCTGGCACACCCCTCACACGCTTCGTGGCCCCATAGGCAGCTCCACCGAAGGCTCGAGAAGCTGCGTTCGCATGAGCTCACTGCACCCATTTCGGTACACCATTTTCACGCTTCGTGCACCCATAGGCAGCCCCACAGAAGGCCAAGTTGGCTGCGCTCGCTAACGCCCACCGCATCAATTTCGGCACACCCCTCACACGCTTCGTGGACCCATAGGCAGCTCCACCAAAGGCTCGAGTGGCTGCGTTCGCATGCGCCCACCGCACCCGTTTCGGCATACCCCCTACACGCTTCGTGGCCCCATTGCTCCACCGAAGGCTCGAGTGGCTGCGTTCGCATGATGCGCCCACCGCACCCATGTCGGCACACCCCTTACACGTTTCGTGGTCCATTAGGTAGCTCCACCGAAGGCTCGAGTGGCTGCGTTCGCATGCGCCCACCGTGCACATGTCGGCACACCCCTTACAGGTTTCGTGGCCCCACAGACAGCTCCACCGAAGGCCCGAGTGGCTGCATTCGCATGCGCCCACCGCACCAATTTCGGCACACCCCTGACACGTTTCGTGGCCCCAAAGGCAACCCCACCGAAGGCTCGAGTGGCTGCGTTCGCATGAGCTCACCGCACCCATTTTGGTACACCCCTCACACGTTCCGTGGCACTACAAAGATCTCCACCGAATGCCCGAGTTGCTGCGCTCGCGTGCGCCATGCGCACAAATGTCGGCATACCCCTTACACGCTTCGTGGCCCATAACGTGCTCCATCGAAGGCCTGGGTGGCTGCGTTCGCATGGACCCACCGCACCCATTTCGGCACACCCTTCTCACATGTCTTGAAGGTTTGGAAATCGTGGGGGCGTCGCGACGCCTCGCGACGCCAATTTTTGTAACTTCCAGCGTTATCGGTGCTCTCTTCTGTCATGGATGCTTCTTGAGGCTTTTCGGAAGAGTCTCGGTGGCCTGAGGCCTATTGGGGGCCTCTTGGGGGCTTCGTGGAGGCCTCTTGGGGCGTCCCGGGGGCCTCTTCGGGACCTCTTGGGGACCTCTTCGAGGGTTCCGGGGCCAGGGCGCAATGTCGGTTCGGGTTCCCCTTCTGGGTCCCCTCCGGAGGCGCTCTTGGGCTGTCTTGGAGGCCTCTTGGGCCGCCTTGGGGTTCCACCGAAGGCCCCAGTGGCAGGGTTCGCATGGCGGCTCCGCCTCCATCCTGGCACACCCCTCACACGCTTCGTGGCCCCATGGGGGACCGAGGAGTGCCGAGGAGGGCTGAGGGGTGCGATGGAGTGGGGAAGAGTTTGGAGAAATTGGGGGGAGTGCGAAGGAGCGGGGAGGAGCAGGAGTTGGGAGGAGGGCCGAGGACAGCGATGAAGTGTGGAGACAGGAGGAGTACCGAGTTGGGCCGAGGAATGCGCGAAATGTGGAGGAATCTGGAGGGGGCGGGAGGAGTACCGAGAAGAGGGATGAAGTGGGAAGGAGTCTGGTGGAATTCGGAAAAGGGCCGCGTAGTGCGATGGATTGGGGAGGAGCCGAGGACTCCACCGAAGGCCCAGTGGCAAGGTTCGCCGGCGTCGCCGCCTCTATTTCGGTACGCCACTCACACGCTTCGTGGCCCCATGGTGGACTCCAATGAAGGCCAGCGGGTTCGCTTGGCAGCGTCGCCTCCATTGGATGATGATGATGATGATGCTGATGATGATGGTGGTGATGATGATGGTGATGATGATGATGACGATGATGATGTTCGACCGTATTTTGGAGTGGTTCGCCCACAACTGCCTACTTAAAAGTAGCGTGCCGCGCAGCAGCTAGGACACCGTTGAGCAGCTCAGAACGGAGCGGCTGGCCGAAGGCACAGGTTGCCTTGGCTTTGTGATGTACATGGAACGCCAGGACGCACAGCGTGTGGGCTGAAGCACGGCTCATCGCACAATTGGCGGTATTGTAATCGTTGGGGGCCGCAAGGCCCAGCAGATGAATGGGAGAGGATGGAAAGTCGAGGAGACGACGCAAGACAGGAAAGGCGAGGTAGTGAGAAATCGCATCGGGCGCATCGACACAGCCCAGCAGGCAGGAGGTAGTGACGCAATCATGCATTCGGCACGACGTGGTCCAGCCTCCCGCGAGCGTCTTCAAAATGGACCATTGCTACGCTGGGCGAAACGTGCGCAAAGTCTCGAGGCACTCCCCCGACCGCTCCCCG